TGCCGCGCCGGCCGAGCCATGGCGGAGATCCGTGGTGAGTGGGGGGCGGTGGCGACCTCGGGCCCGCAGGAGGTCCCTAGGGGAGTGGGATCTCCCGTGGGGATCGGGACCCTTGGGTAGGCAGGTCACGCCCACGGGGATAGAGAGAGAGACACACACACACACACACACACACACCCCCTCCCCCCCGGGGACTCCCAGGGCGGTGGGGCAGAGGCACTGCGACCCCTGCCCGCAACCCGGGGACCCCCAGGCCCCCTGTATGATGATCTAAAATTTCTTCCCCCAAATGCCCCCTCCCCGCCAAAGCTCTCGGTCCCCACCCTACCCTGGCCCGCTCTCACCCCGCACCGAAGGGCTTGGAGCTGCCTGCCCCACCACCGGAGTGCCCCAGAAGGGGTTTGGGGAGGGCAGAGGGTCATTTCTGGCCCCCTATAAAGTCTGGCTTCCCTCCCGCAGTGTTCCCCCTCTCCTGCGCCGTGCAGAGCTACGCCTGGGGGAAGCTGGGGCTGGAGAGTGAGGTGGCCAAGCTGCTGGCCAGCAGTGACCCACTGGTCCAGATCCAGCCCAACCAACCCTACGCGGAGGTGAGTGCCTGGCCACGTGTCCGTATGTCCGTCCCATCTGTGTGTCTGTCCCAACCAACTGCAGCTCTCACCATCCCGGGTCCAGCCGTCTCAGGGAGGGATGCAGATCCCCCACCTGTCCCAGTCCCCTGTAGCCCTGGGGGGCTGCGAGGATGCCCCATGGGAGGAGGACAGGAGAGGCCCGGTGTGACTCAGCCCCTGAGGGAGCTGCCTTGGCCACGTAGATCATTTCTGGGGCCAAGCAGCCTCGAGAAAAGCCCAAGTCATCCCCGTTGGCTGCCCAGCTCAGGGGTCCATCTGTCTGTCTCCCACAGCTCTGGATGGGCACGCACCCCCGGGGTGACGCCATCATCCAGGATAACCGCATCCCCCAAAAGACCCTGGGCCAATGGATCGCTGAGAACCCCGCTTGCCTGGGGGTGAAAGTGAAGGATGCCTTCCAGGGTCATCTGCCCTTCCTCTTCAAGGTGCTGTCAGTCAACACCGCTCTCTCCATCCAGGCACACCCCAACAAGGTAGGGAGAGCCCGGGGGGGGCAGCCCCAGCTGGACCCTGTGTCCCTGGGGAGGTCACCCAGCTCCTCTGCCTCCCTCTCCAGGAGCTGGCAGCAAAGCTGCACGCCCAGTTCCCTGAGAACTACCCTGATGCCAACCACAAGCCTGAAATGGCCATCGCTCTCACCCCCTTCGAGGGTTTGTGCGGCTTTCGGCCAGTGGAGGAGATCGTCTCCTTCCTCCAGAGTAAGGATGGCAAGGGAGGGCGGGCACAAGGTCAGACCCTGGTGCCACCTTCCCTCCCTGCAGCGGGCTCGGGGTGGGGACGGTGGCTGTGTTACCTCGGGATGGAGGTGCTGGGCTCCCCCATGGTGGCAGCCGCCAGGGGTGACTTGGGCTGGCCACCCCGGCAGGCATCCCTGAGCTGCGGGCGCTGATCGGGGAGGTGGCGGCAGAACAGCTGGAGCGCAGCGGGAGTGACGACCCCCGCGGCGTCTCGGCCGCCCTCCGTGTCTGCTTCACCCGCCTGATGAAGAGTGAGAAGAAATTCTTCGTCGACCAGCTGAACACGCTGGTGAAGAGGATCTCCCAGGAAGGTGGGTCCTGTCTGCCCATTGCAGCCCCCCAGAAGAGTTTAGGGGGTGCTGTGTCTAGGGGAGGAGATGGGGCACCCCCCCAGCTCCCTCCCCAGCGTTGAGCCTGGTTTCTGTGCAGTGGCAGAAGGGAAGGACACATCAGGGAGCAACGGGGACCTGCTGCTGCGGCTGCACTCCCAGTACCCAGGGGACATTGGCTGCTTCACCATTTATTTCCTCAACCTGGTGAGGCTGGAGCCGGGGGAGGCCATGTTCCTGGGAGCCAACGAGCCCCACGCCTACCTGCACGGAGGTGAGCATCGCGGTGGGCTTTCCTAGCCCAGAACCCCGCAAGAACTCTCCCCCAAGGTGGCCATGGTCTCCTGCACAAGCTTGGACCCCCCTACCCCGGGACGTGCAGGAGGGCTGGGGTGGGCTGACAGTGCTGCCTCATCCCTGCAGACTGCGTGGAGTGCATGGCGTGCTCAGATAACACGGTGCGCGCTGGGCTCACCCCCAAATTCATCGATGTCCTCACCTTGTGCGAGATGCTCAACTACACGCCAGCACCCAGCAGCTCCAAGATTTTCCCGGCTGTGCAGAGCCAGCTTGACCCCAACATCTACCTCTACGACCCGCCTGTGCCAGACTTCACCATCATGAAGATAGAGGTGAGCACCGACGGTTCTGCTCCGGGGATGTGGGAGGGGACGCCAGCTTTGTCCTGTCCTGGCTATGCTCTTAGTAGGACATTCTGGTGTTGGCTGAGGTTTTCTCAGCATGGGTTTGCCCACCCTTGTAGTTAGTGCACCAGTGAGGATGGAGGGGTGCTTTGGGATGCTTGTGTCACCCCCAGGCCCTGTTGCAGGCTCCTCTCCCTCCCCTGTTCCCCCTGCACAGAGCTTGATCATCTTCTCCAGCAGTTGTGGGTGAGGAGATCTCAGGGGTGCAGCTTGGGTGTCTTCAGCTAAGCCAAGGTCCCTGGGGTTGGTCTGCTGCAGGTGCAGGGTAGCCAGGGCACAGCAGATGCTGCAGCAGGGTGGAAATGGGATGACCTCCTTCCACCTCCCCAAAGAGGAGATGGGGGATACTCAAGCCAGTGACCCTTTCCATTGCAGATCCCCTCCTCCATCAAGCTGTACCTCGTCTCTGCTGTAGAGTCTGCCAGCATCTTACTGGTGATCCAAGGGACAGCCGTGGGCACCTCCACAGCCGCAGCCTCCGAAATGACTCTGCGTCGTGGCTCTGTGCTCTTCATCTCTGCTAACGAGAGCATCTCCCTCCACCTCTCCTCGCCAGATGGGATGCTGCTCTTCCGAGCCTGCTGCCTCCTCTGAGCAGGAGGATCCGGGATGCTTCCCCCCAATCACTCCACATTTGAGTAGATAGAAACTGGCCTGGGCAAAGTCATCTCGCTTGGAAGTTTCCCCTCCATCTATTAAACCCCCAAACCAGCCCACACCCGATGTATAGAAAGAGCAATTCCGCGAATCAACTCCTTGGACATGGCACGGAGCAGAGTGGGAAGAGGAAGAGCATCTCCCCTTGCAGCTCGTTAGCCATGTCCCTGTAGCATCATACCCTCTGGGTGCTGCCAATACCACACAGCAACTCCTTTTATTATTTTCCCCCCTTCCTTCTCGCCAAGAAGCAGCGGGGAGGCCTGAGGTCTGCACTCCGGGTCTCAAGCATCTCTGCCCAGCTTCTAGGAGCTGCTGCTCCCTCCTGAAAATGTGATGCTAAGGCTTTCTGCAGCTCCTGGGTGCCCAGTGGGCTCTTAACAAGCCTGGCCGAGGGCAGGCAGTCCTCTGAGCCATGTCACCCCTTCCCCTGCTGTAAAAGGGGGCTGCCTGGGGTGGGTGACGGAGCTGGAGGGCCTCCAGTGCTGTGAATAAAGTGGTGACTTTGTCCTCGGCGCAGGGCAGCGTGGTGTAGGGAACAGGAGGAGGACGGGGAGAACCACTGGTGTCTGCAGGGCTCAGTGACCAGAGGAGGCTGGGGGCAGCTCCGGCATCCCCCCGGTGCTGGCTGTGACCTTCCCTGCATCACCCTGTAGCAGCATCAGCCTGGGTCGACATGGCAGCTCCACAGGGAAGGAGGACAGAGGGGTAATATGTGACAAGGAAAACCAGATTGCTCCAAAAGTGGGCCAGGGAAAGGAGCCCTCCCAAGCAGGGCTGCTGCAGGGAGCAGGGCTCAGCCCCCTGCCATTAGCACCAGCACACCCTCTGAGTAATGAGATGCAGTTTATTGAGTGCTCTCTTTAAGTAAAATAAAAACAAAAAAAAAACCAAAAAAACCCGACAAAAAACCACAACCCAATAGTTCAGGTCTCTAGACATAAATATTTAAATAAGGTTTCTTTATAAGAAGCTGATTGTCCTCTATATAGTAGAGTAGGACCACGATTTAAGGCAGCTTTTAAGGTTCACAGCAGGGAGACTCCGCAGCCACCCCAAATCCACACCCAAAAGGAGCTGGCACGGGGGGTCTGGGCTACCCCTTGCCAGCATCAGCTGGAACAAGCCATGAGCTCCAAACCCAGAATTTAACTGGTCCCTGGAGAGGCAGAAAGCAGGAAGCTCCCAACCCAAGCAGTAGCTGCTGGTGGATACAACAAATACACTTAAAGCTCAGCAGCCTGCCCCAATTTGGTCTGTTGGGTTCTTCCCATCTTCTCCATTGGAGATGCAATCTTTGGTTGAGATCAGCCCAGGCTTTGGGAGGAGGAAACCCAGCAGCAATTAACTGCAAGCAGCATGAGATAGGTAAATGAGATGGCTCTCTGCCAGCCTGTGCTGACCCCAGCCTCACTGGCTTGGCCTCAGCCTGCCATGGAGGAGGGCTGACTGAAGAGAAAATAAATAGAAAAAAGGGTCTCAGGGCTTCCCAGTCCACTCTCACACCACAACAGTTGACCTCACCTCTTAGGGAGGGCTGGGAAAGGCAACCTGTGTCCAGGGCCAGGTCCTAATCCTCAGTGTGGCCCGTTAGGGGAAAAGAGGAGGTCAGGCAAACCCAAGAGCATTTGCTGCTGCACCTCCCAATTCCTTCCCTCTACACTCTCATGGAGGTGCCTAGGCTCTGCCTCTCCTCCCTCCCCATCCCAACCAGGCGACAGGTCTCATCCAGGCCACCTAAATGTCACTATGCCACTTCTCCCTGATATTGCTGAGTGTAAGGAAAAGTCCTTTGGGGTTGGTTGGTTGCTGCTGCTCACCACAAGCGGCATCGCAGCATCCTTCTGTCCTTGTGTCGCCATCCCAGCATGGGACACGGACACCAACAGCCATCCCACAGGACAAAGAAAGTGCTGGCTTTTGACCTTTTTTTGCACAGCCCCAGACGAGCAGCATCTACTGGATCACACAGGAGAGATTTTCTCCAAAACAACAGGGGCAAGAAGAGGAGGTGACGGGTTTCGGGGGGATGAGATCCAGATCTTCGTCATCAGGAACCTCATCAAGGTGGTACCCATCCTGCAGCAGCTGCCGGCTCACGTCCTGGTTCACCTGCTGGGGGGAGCAAAGGAGGCAGAGCTGGTTAAAACTAGTCCCACCTTAGTTAAAATTTAGGTCTCAGGGCTTGCAAAGGGTAAGGATGCGAGCAAGAAGGGCATCACCTCCCCATGCAAACGTACTGGAGGGAGGACGAGCAGCACAACCAGAGAAGAGGAGATGAAAGCAAAAGATCAAGGAGCTTTTCCAGGGCTGCAGCACCCTGACACAGACCCCATGCACCTCAAAACACCCCATGGGCTACAACACTCTTGTATATAATGGAGCTCTTCAGCTGCCCCGCTGCAGGGTTTGGGGGTAGACGATGCTTTAGGTGCAAAGGGTGAAGCAGTGACAGCCAGCTGGGGCCTGCAAAAGGGGGATTTATGCATGGCTTAAATGTATCAGACAGCAGTTTGCAAAGCAGAGCTCTTCAGGATGAACACACACATACACACCCCGTAGGGTGGTGCTTCATTCCAGCCCCTATACAGGGCCTGAGGTGTAACAGGACCAAGGGAACCCACGGGGACCGCGCCGTCAGGGTCAAACCCCAGGACTTGCCTCGGCGGAGGAATAGCCTGAGGAACATCTGGATCCCAGCTCCCCGTCACTAAGAGAAGAAGGAAACAGTCACAGCCAGCCAGGAAGTGGTGTCCTTCCTTGGGGTGCAGACAAGGGAATCTTGGGGGGGGCGAAAGGGAGCCAGCAGCATAGCCCCAAGGGATTTGTCAAATTTAGGACAACAGGAGTGTTTGGCTGCTAAGAGGTGTCCAGTGCAATAGAGGATGTTCTACAAGTGACAAGGAAAATCAATCCCCCAAAACAGGCAACTCAGAGCCTGCAACACCCCCCACCCAAAATCCTGGGATATTCACCCAGTCCCCACCTGTCCGAATCGAGGGAGACCAGGTTTTCATCCACCATCTGGCTGAGCGCTGTGTAGCCCTTGTTAAACTTCACCGACCTGCCAGAAAGCAGAGGAGCAACCCCGTGACAGGGATTTTGATGTGAAAATACAGCCACAGAGCTGGTGGACTGAGGAGCCAGGGCAGGAATCCCTGTCCTGAATGTCCTCTCCCACCCAGGAATGGTCTAGAGCCACCACCAGCTAAGAATAAACTCTATCTGAGCTCTAGGCTACCCAATTAAATCCTTAACACCAAACCATCCCTAAACCAAAGAGAAGCAGCAGCATGGCCCTTCGCAGAGCAACTCCTAAATTTTGCAGAAGTGCTATATTTTATTATATTGGATGTTTGCTGGCCACAACAGAGCCAGCAGACTAAGGTCCCAAACTAATTTTTTAATCCCCCGAGCTCCCCAGTCTCCCTAAGGAATGTGAAAAGAGGAAAACAAGATCAGACCTTTTAGCCGCCGGCTTCGGCTGGTGCAGTGTGGGTGCCCCCAGCAGCCCCTGCCTTCGCAGCGCTGCCTTTGCCAGCTCTCGCTGCCTCTCTGAAAGCCAAGCACAGGGGAGAGCTAAAATACCCAAATAGTCCCCAGGGGTCTTTTCTATTGGAGGAGGGAGGTGGAGCATTGCAGGTCGGTCCTAAGGAGACCGTGGGGGCATTGCAGTGCTTTCCATAGGCAGTGCCCACAGGTTCTTATGGGTTTTTTTTAATGTGTTTTTTAAATTATTTTATCCCAGCAAGGAACAAAAAAGGCTTTTGCTCGCTCCCACTCTGGGCAAGAGGCGCAGATGTTTCCCCAAATCCCAGCAGAGTCCCTGGGACAACACTAAGCATCACTTACGGAGCCTGGCATGAATGGAGGGAGGCTTGCTCATAATGTACGGTCCCCTTTTCTCCACTGCATCTGTCACCTTGTTCAGCTTATTGGTTTCAGCCCAAATCAGCTAAAAAAAAGGAACAAAGCTCATTTAGTATCATCTCTCTATGGGGATGAAGTAAAGTAGAGTCATTTCAGAGCATCTAGTCATTCCTGGGAACTCAACAGTCAGGTGGGGAAAGCTGGGGTGGGACAGCTCCTCCTCCCCAGCCCTGTGCTGCAGCTGGAGGAGGGAGAGGAAAAGGAATAAGCAGATCTATTAGCAGATGAAGGGATTATTTGGGAATGGCGATGCTAAATTAAAAGCACACATGGTGACCAGCAGTTTCTTTGCAAGCTTAATGCCAGTAATACTCAGAACAAGATGTGATGGTGGAGATTTAACTAGCAGGTTCATCAAATAAGCAATAAGGATACGTAATTTTAACTTCTCCACAGATTTTGAGTCTTTCAAGCTTCTCCCCATACAACAATAAAACCACATTATTAAAATGAAAGCAGCGTCATATAAGCAGGTCTGAGAGCCAGGGCTTTAAGGAAAAGCCTGCCCTGTATGTAAGGCATTTATCATCACGGAGAGCCAGCATTACTCAATGAAAACGGGCAGAAAAAAAGTTCTACGAATACAATAATGAATAAAGAAAAGTGAAGAAAATTCAGAAAATGGAGAGTCAGTGCAGGAAGGACAGGGAATTAGAGAAAGCAGTTAATGAAGAAACAATGCAGAAGTCCTGGGGTGGTGATCAGAGAGCACAAGCAGGATTAGTGTCAGTGTCTTAAACCAGAATTAGCAGGGCAGAGCCTTACACACGGGAATAACTCCGTGCACAGGGAGCTCAGGCTGCCTGTGTCAGTGGGATTAACCGGGCAGGCAGCAAACTTCTGCCCGCTGCTCCCTTGTATCCCTCTGTACGTGCTATACCCCTCCCTAAGCAGCTTCTGCACACGCTCTGCTTCTACACCGCCCCTGCCCTACGCTGTGCCACCCTTACAGGCAAATGCACACGCTCTACCCCTACACTGCTCCTCCGCGCGTATGCCCCAGCCCCAGCCCGTCCCCACACCCCCCCAGCCCTACACCACCCCATGCACATACCCCACACCGCCCCCCCACATCCCAGCCCTATACCCATGATGCATATAACTCCTACTCTCCCCCCCTCCCCAGTCCTACATCCCCACACATACACCCCATAGTGACCCCGGCCCCGCACGTACCGCCGGTGCCCG